TCAGTTTTCAGTGTTATTGGACCTTTCAATTATATCCTTACTCGAATATTGACCTTTATAAATGTTGACCTAATTGACTGATGATTAATTTTGAAGATTTATGGAGACCGAGTGATTTTAAAGGTTGATATTCATCATGGACTGGCATTAACTGTTGGAACACTAGACAGTATGTGTTTCGTCCTTGTAAAGGCATCCTCAGCAGTTCGGTGTGCATAAATTCTTTGGTTTATTCATTAACTAGATTTCAAGTTGTTATTCATCGGAGACTGACATCAGTTGGAGGAACAAAGGAAACCTGGGAGCATTGGACAGCTGTTTCGTCCTAGTATGGGACTCCTCAGCAGTGCGCACCCACGACCCCACCAGCAGGGATCGAACCCGCGACCTTCAGGTTCCGCGACCAGCCCGTTACCATTGAGCCACTGGGTCAGAATCCAATGCTCCATATTTCCAACTTCTGTTAGCTCACGTTATAGCGATGAATAACAACTTGAAATATTTCCAAATCTCCACAACCCCCTCAAAAATTAACTAGATTGTTCAACATAGTGATGTTGAAAATTGTTTTAACTAACTTTTGTAGACTGCATTGCTTTAGTCTTCATTAAAGATGAATCCTTTAGAATGTTATCAAATGAGTGAAGTGATCGATTTGTAAGTACTAAGATTTCATTGATATAGGGTAAATTGATTCATTGTGTAGGTTGACATCGGCGTTTATTGATGAAGTTTATCGGGTAGCCATTACCTCTGTATACTTTATCCTTGCGTTCCAAGTGGAACATAGGGCTTCAGTCACATGTCTCCATTCCACTCTCTTCTCTGCAATTGTTTGAACCTGGCTCCATGACTGCTAAGATGCTGTCATTTCTTCCTCAAACCATCTCCTCCTCTATGTTACCCTCGGATACCCAACTTGTTGCTTCCACTTTGGGTTCCAGTCGAAGTCCCCGAACTCTCTTCTCAGTATATGCCCAATCCATCTCCACTTCCCTCCAGTTCATATTTGTTGGGCGATAGATTGTTGGTTGGGTCTAAGGAACAAGATTTCTTTGTTTTCGTGTCTTCCTTCTGTCAACTGAGTACCTTGATGTGAAGATGGATAGTGGCCAGCAGTGGAATTCACAATGGGCACTTTGTTCTATATGGGATCTGTCAGCTGGATGTACCTGTGTCCCAGTGAGTTTGTTCCCACAGGGACTTAAACTCGGAAGCGATCGTTTCAATTGCTACAGCGTTATCCACTTTACCACCGAGCCACAATAGCCACTTCTTGGTTGTGTTACACCGTCGTAGATTGAACCGAACTGATCGGTCTCTATTGGCAAAGGAGATCCTGAGCGGATGCCTAGAAATAGTTCTGGTTATAGTAAAGATGGATGGTGGCTACCAGTTGAATCCAGGATGCAATAAGACTGATTTTCATTTCAGCAATCACTTCAGATATTACTCACCATGATGTTCCGCGACAGCTAAACTATTCATTCGTTACAAGGGACAGAGGGAAGGATAGACAAACAAAATCAATGTAGAACCTTGTACACAACAACGTCGATTCAAGTTGTCACACTTCGCTGTGACATACAAAGAACGAACGGATAGGCAAATGTGTATCACAGTGGAGAAAAGACAACTGGAAGCCAGTGATTAGTAGAAATATTCAAGGTTTAGAAGATGTCGTGAACTACTGACTCAAGTCTATCAGGCAGTCTGCACCGATCCGTAAACGGCTTAGACAGACGATCGGGGAATTCATTGAATTGTATCTTGTCTAGATTTGATCACCTTGAACCCCTATTCCAACCTAATCCAGCTTGCTGTAGCACTTGTCCAAGCCACCTCAGTCGTCGAAGGTCCTAGACCTTCACCAAACGTGAAGTGTAATGTCTCTTAGTGGTACAACAGAACAGAATGGACTATACCGTAGTATATTCATCGTCAAATATCTCACCAGTTCGCCTTACAGATGATGAAATTTGGCAAATGACAAACGTGAATTTGAGATTTCATCGGTGACCATCTCCTTCCAGATTTTCTGATAAACATTGTGTTTTCTAGATGTGTTGTACAGTGTTCCAATCAAATAAACTACTGGTATACTTCACACTAATATAACGCGTATAACGTTTTGTTTCACCATCGGTATCCACTGAGTAAGTTGGTGAAGGTTGGGTACAACAGTTATTCCAGCCATCTCTGCCTCTCCACTTAATTTTATCGAAATTGAGTACAATGAGTTTATCCCATTCATATGAGGTTGTGTATTAATACATCCGTTGCAATAGCTGAGGTTTTCTTTTCAGGATTATTCATCCCTATTGGAGTATATCACCTAAACTTCTGTGTTCTGATAATCTAACTAACTCCGTTCGGCTACTTTCACCTATGTACTTGACCTAACTTGAAATTCTATCGGATAGTTAAACAAGCTGAAAAGGCTTATCTCCAAGTGAGTTTGTAGGCTCAAATGCCACCGTAATATTAGCTTTGTCGAAAGTCTTACGTAAAGTTTCTGATCTTCCCTCCTTTTATGGTAACAAAATGGAGGCTATGAAGTCCTTCCCTACTCATGTTGTCACTATTTGTATTATTGTTACTACTTCGTTTCCTGTGTATTCTAAAAGATGAACCTTGATGGTTAGTGGGGTGTATTTTTGAGCTTTATCATTTAGACATTAAACTAAACCCGCTTTAACTGACTGAAAGTGGACGAGATGACTTGAAGTCTACCTGTTAGAATGTGTCGGTTGCCTAGGTAAATGATACAGTTAGAAAAACTTACCAGTCATCGTAAGGAGTTGAACAAGGAATTCTAGTACACAACACAATACTGTATCACTGTCTACTTTGTAGAGATGACAGAACAGAAAAATCATCTCCGTTGTCTCCTCCAGTAAAAATGCTCATGAATATTTAGATCATATTAAAATAGACTGTTGATTTGCTATATGACTTGAGATTGCTATACTTTCTATTTGAAACCTCCGTAAAAGATCTCATCAATTTGTTCTTTAACGACACAGTGTCTTCTGTATTCTAACTAACTTCAGTGACTTCAAGCTACAGAAGGGTCAAAGGGAGTTGAGCTGTGGATAGAAATCCAGGTAAGCTGGTGAGGACTTACGGCGACTACATTTTCCCCTTTATTTCCTCATCTCCCATCTTTATGCCTTATTTCTTGGTGTGCTAATATGAGGTATCACAATTACGGCTGTTATGTAATAATTTCAGATCCCATACTAATAAAGCGGTCAGCTTAACATCAATAGTTATTCAGGAATGTATAACGAAGCAATTCCATGAAAAGAATTTCGTCCTCAAATGTTTCATCTATTGATAAATTTCTCATTCAAAGTGATAGAATAGTGTAGAAACACAGTAGAAGAATATCATAATATTCTAGAAGAAGGCGATGATGTTACCACAAGTTATTAATAATCGTCTTCTGGAATCCTCGGGACTCGAACCAAGACACAGATAACAGAACGTTTGTCACTATGTAATGCAAATAGAATTAGGTTTCCGGTACAATATCTTATGTGTGTAGACTAAGAAACTGTATCATTTAGTTTGTGAATCCTGGTTTTTCATAGTGTATAGAGAAAATACTGACTTTTTGAATGAGATCCGCTCTGAAGGTTAAGAAACGAATTATTATTATCAATTGTCCCTTGCGTTCCTAATGGAACATACAGATTCAGTACACTCTGTTCTCTGCAAACTTTTGAACCTGGTTCCACAACTGCCCATAACCTTCCATTTCTTCCTCACAACATCTCCTCCATGTCACCCTCACCTCCAACGCCAAACTCGTCGCTTCCCACTTGGGTTCCACTCGACGGCCTGGCTTGAAGCTTGATGTCCCCAAATGGTCTTCTCAGTGTATGCCCAATCCAGTCCATCTCCACCTCCTCACACTGCATATTTGTTGAGCGATGGCTTCCTGCTTCGTTGGTTCATCACCAGCCAGCCAGAGTTGCTTGTTACTTATTCTTATTATTCTGGCCATCTGATCACCATCTTCAGTGACGAGCCAGTGTAGGTGGTAGTTGTTGATGAATGTGTGTAGTTTGTTGTAAATCCCTCCCTTAATGCGCCAAGTCTCTCAACCATCACATAGAAGTATAGCACTGACTTGACTGGAATGGTGTTGAAAATCCGGATGTTGTTCACGTTTTGTGCAAAGAGCAGTGCAGAAGATCTTCACACTGGTTTCAGGTTAATGCAGGAACGCGAGTCTTGCTTTTCCTATCCTGGATGGCTTTGACGTCCACGTGTGTGCCTGTGCCACTGCATGTAGTTGAAACAGTGCTGCCTAGGTGAGTGGGTGGTTGGGTGAGAGAGTCTACTTCCTTTAAGTTTCTCGCGTTGATGTTGATTGGTGATCATTGTTGTTGTTGTTGGTGGTTGTGTATGCTCATCACCTGTGTCTTGTCTACGTTCACTTGAAGGGACTGCCATCTTCGCTGCTCTGCCTCTTCTGTCCACTTGTTTGTTATCGCCTGTATATCTTCGAGTTTGTATGACATTAGACACAAGTCATCTTCTAGGATCTTTTTCCTGATGCATTGTATTCCCTTGTTCTCATACCCTACAAATATCAACCATCCTTTCATTGTGGTTAGAAGATGACATTGATTTATTTCAAGGTTTCAATGGTTGTTAAAAGCGTTCTGATACAGCCACCTGTCTACCTTGAGTATTCGCTATTTACACTGAGGTCATTCATATACAATTACAACATATACCTTTCATCTTAAACAAGACTAATGGATTATCAAAAGAATATTAAAAGCCAATAAGAAATTAGATAAATAAATAACTGGAAATATTGTACAATATTGAATCACATCTAGAAAATGGCGCGCAAAAATATCCATTTAAAATTACCGCACAGAATTGTTTAAATCCTTTAACGCTTTCTTTTATTATTCCTTTAAATGAATTCAACTCTATGTAAATATATTAAAATGATATTTTCGCTTTGTTTTAATTAGTTTGAAGAATTACAGAATTCATTGTTTCAACGAACAAATCAATTGGACATTGAACATTCAAAAGTGAATCAATTGAAAACTCATATGAAAAATGTTCAACAAGAAATTGATTACACTAGATCATTGTGTAATCTACGTGATAAAGAGATTAAAGAGGAAATTAATCAATTAAAATTATCAGAAAGAGAACATCAACGTCTTATACAAGAGAGTAAAAAAGTTGAACAAATTCAACAGGATATAACTGAGAAGAAGAGTTTTTTAGAGGTATGTTCTATCATAAAGTAGACTGTAGATAATCATATATTCATGTTAATTTATCAATGAAGTCCAGCTTGATGTGCGTTTCGTCCCATTTGGGGCTCATCAACTAGATGTACCTATTGGCTCCCAATTAGCGATGTTGTCTCACACCTACTAAGTATGCCTAGTCACACAATGTTGGCCGAAGTAGGTCGAGGCTGGAAAAAGGCCCGAGGTGGCCAGACTAAAACATGACACCAATGTATGAAGTCTCTGACTGTTGGTTTAAGCCATGTAGGACGATGCAGACTAGGTGGTTGGGGTTGGCGGGACAGGAGGAACCAACAGTGGTTGGAGACTCTACTTGACATGGCTGAGAACCGATGTCAGTGACACAGATGTATCCCTGCACACATTATGCTCATCTTAACCAGGCTATATTGAATCTCACCATTTCGTCATTCTTCCTTCCTTTCTTCTCGTACTTTTGACTGAATTTTCTTATCTTCATCCTTCACCTCACTGCCTTTTTACTTGATGTAGTGATATGAGGTGTGGCAACTCGGACCATTACGCAGTAATGCCTAGTCCTATGTTGATATTGATGATGATGAAATGCCAGTGCATTACTGTTGACGAAACGAACTGTCCAATGCCCTCAGTTTCCAATGTAACAGATTATATAAGCTTTGAAAATCGTAGAATACAGTGGCATTGAAACATTATCCAGGCTGACTATCTAAAGTAGTTGAAAGGAAGAGCAATATCTCGCTTGATGAACACGATATCATCTCCAAACAACTGACTGTCGTCTATTACTTCCTTTAAAGTGTCTCAGCCTATAGTATCAAAGGAATGATGTCTGTGTTCTTAAGTATTAGACGAACTCAAAAATCTCATCATAATAAGACTGAGGATTCTCTTCTCTCTCTCTCATAGAATGATTTCCTCCAAGTCCTAAATGTCTGTCTATCTTCTATCTGTTAGCAATCAACTTCTAAGGGTTGAAGTAGATTCTTGAAAAAGTGGATTATTTAGTCGCTGTAACTGATGAAGATATCAAGTAGGATGTTGTTTGAAATTGTAGAATGAATCATCAAACTCTAGAAATTAGGTTTCATGGTTGTCGGCACTTATCAGTAAAGCATATCTGGTTACTTTCTTATGATTAATCAGTACATGTAAAGCGTCTTTCTTGTCAACATAGAAGTTAGTCAGTTTACCAAGAACACAATATTGCAGTTTATCTATCTATCTATCTACTATTATCTGTCCCTTAGGTTCCTAGTGGAACATAGGGATTCAGCAGCACGTCTCTATTCCACTCTCTTCTCTGCAATCTTTTGAACCTGGCTCCATGACTGCCCAGATGTTTCATTTCTTCCGCACACCATCTCCTCCATGTCATCGTCACCTGAGGCGCCCAACTCGTTGTCTCCCATGTGGATTCCACTCGAGATACTGGACTGATGCTTGATGTCCCCAAATGGTATTCTCAGTACATGCCTAATCCATCTCCATATTCTTTCTGCATATTTGTTGAGTGATTGGTTCTTGGTTACTTGACTTCTTGCCAGGCTATGCCATCTTCAGTATCGAGCCAGTGTAGGTGGTAGTTGTTGATGAATGTCTGTAGTTTGTTGGAAATGCCTTTCGTTACGCACCAAGTCTCTGAACGATACAGAAACACTGACTTCACGTCGGTGTTGAAAATCAGGATCTTGTTGCACCTGCCGAGTACAGAAGATCTTCACACTGGTTTCATAGTTGTCAGCAGTCATCAGAATGTCATATCTGGTTACTCTCTCATGACTAATCAGTACATGTATATCATCTTTGTTGTCAACAAAGAAGTCATCAGTTTACCAAGATCACAATATTTGTCAGTTTCTTCATAATTATGTGTTTATTTTAAGAAAGAGGACGTTTCTTCAAGTGATGTATGTATACTACTAAAAAAGCAATATGAGTAGTGTTGTTGATGATCTCATCAGTCAAATTGATAAAATATGTGTTAGGTACTTAGATTTCTATGATATAGGTAGTCAAATGTACAGATAAACTTAAGCAGTTTTTAACTACTCATATTTAATAGTAGTATATGTGGAAAGCAAAAAAATTTCTAGAAAATACTGTCACGATGAGAGTTTCATTTTCAAGGTGAAATTTGATATGTCTATTTAGCATCACTACATCCTATCAGTCCATCACGTGTCCGACTATTACTTTCAATCATGTTGACTAGAGGCAGTGGAAAGGAAGATATGTTCTACTTCCAAGCTTCGTACTTGTTGGCACTCATCAGCAAAGCACATCTACAACCTTAAGTCACTTTTCCTCTACATTTCGATTATTACAGTAAATGTAGTCGGCTGGACGTACCTGCTTCCTAGCGAGTGCTGCCTCTGTCTGGGCTCGAACTTGAAATTGATCCTTCCAAACGCCAGATCGTCATCCACTAGACGAACAAGTCACAACAGCCACTTCTTGTCCGATCGGTATAGTTTAAGTGCTTTTGTGTTTCTCTGAATTTTATCATAACAACAGACCAGATAAAACCATATTTTTTCGAATGATTTCGTAAAAGATGTCTGTCTGTCTGTCTGTCTCTCACTGTCATAAACAAGATGGTTAAAACGTTCTCTGTGTTATCCTTATCCTATGGTTTTGTAAAGATGATGACACCTCACTGTTCTTGTTATATACTTCTAATTTTCCTATGATTCTACCCATGACCTTGAAATAGCCAATCATAGCTGTTTTCACATGGTCACTAGTTTTTTTTCCGTCTCCTCTCAGGCTGAACTCTTATTGGTTGTTAACTATACATGGATTTAATGTTATCAAGGTCATCCATGAATAGAAATATTCAGCATCTCTGTCAACTATAATGACTGTTGTTGAGATAGTCGAGAGCTCCCTGTGAACGATCTGTCATCTCTTCATATCTTCGTGGGGCGGTGATATTGTTGTTTAGGTGGTTGATGTTCAGATATGCATTAGAGGCGATTCTTTTACACGTTAGGCTTGTATCGCTCCTATCGCTGTTAGGTCGTACTATCAGTCATAATATTTCCGTGACTGATTACACAAGGTACTTACATTGGCAGAGATCATACTGGCTTATATATTTTACACTGATTTAACTAGATATATTCAACAGCTTAAGATGAAATAGTCCATTCCCAAGCTAAAGAATCTATGTAGACAAACTTTGCAAGAAAGGTAAATCGATTGATGACCTTGAGAATAAGAAGAATCATATTTAAATCGATTTGAGATAGTCATGGTTTGGCTCTCTAGTATTTGGACTACGGCCGGATCGAACGAGGGGCGGTCAAAAACCTAGTGATTGCTGGTTCGAATCCGACAGTGATCTAAATCCTCACTTCACCTTCAATCATCAAGCAGTATTATGGAAGGTTTTTAAAGATACCATGTAGTTGAACATTATGCCTAGCTCTGAGAGTCCTTTCTTCTCGACTATCTTATCCAGGTAGCGTAAACCTCCGAATGCGGCTGAGATAAACAACTAGAAACTTTATGGATTGGTGTCACTTCTTGACCTGGTCACTCATAGATTGTTATATTAAACAGGGTAAGGTTATATACTCCACTGACTGATATGTCTTACTTGCGTACACTATGCACCTATCCTCATAACTGCTAACAACAGTCATGGAATGCTAACCGAAGTATTTTGATCAACATCCTGTAAACTTCTCAGATAGAAAGAGAAAATCAACGTAGAACCTCGTACATAAGTGCATCATCCCAAGTTGCTAAGCCATTATGATTGATTTTCAGCCATGTTACCAAGGGTTAGTCCTCAACCACTGTTTTATGTCCTCTCACAGACCTCAACCATGAAGTCAGCATCTTCTCACTTACCGAATAGCAAACTGGCTACTTGATCTGAAGGTCAGATTTTACGGTCAACCAATCCCTTTGAGCCTCTTCCAGACACATGGTTTTATTACTGGCTTGTAAATTGTGTAGTGACTTTCAAACTGACAAGGCCTGGATTGCATTTCATACACCCTAGTTATTGTTACATTTTAAAATTGCATCCCACATGAATAGTCATCAAGGAAACAAATCACTGGTTAGTAAACAAAATGTCACTGCGTACAAATAGCTCCGATTGCCCAAACTATGGAAGGTCAATTAGGATTTAGATGCTTGAATGGTTTACACATACCTTATGCAATAGGTTGAAACAATTAGAGTTAGGGTTAGTTGTAGGCAATCGACAAAAAATCCCTGTTCCGTTCACATTCCTTTCTTGTCAACACTCTTCAGTAGGACGTATTGCCAAGTTTGAGGGAACTCTGGTTCAAATCACTTGTCACCCCTTTGTGCGGTAGTCATCGACGTTACAGTTGGTAACAGTTAAACGTTTTTTTTTTTTAACAAATCTGAATGATGAACATCTCCTGTATATTCCTTCTTCTAGACATTATTCTATCAGAAAAGGAAAGAATTAGAAAATTCTTCTATCAATATTGATTCGAATAAAATTTCTTTAGAAAATCTTATGAAAACAATCGGTGAATATGATGAAGATATGAAAATTGTTGAGAAGTACATTAAACAGGATAATACAAAGATTAAAGTAAGTTTTCCTAGTTTATAAAAAGTTTTTTGTCAGATATTCCCTTACATTACAATAGTGCTTGTGTTTCGTCTCACTTGCGACTCATCAGCTGGATATACTTTCATACACCAATAAGTGATATCGACCTCAATCCCTCCTCACTCAGATAAATCGGTTTAGAGAATAGTCGATATAATGACATTTAAATACTACCTGGTATCAATGGTTCTTGAAAGCTTCACTCCACTTATGATTCAGCCTTCTTCTCATTTAGAGTTGTATCACCTCTGAGATTTAGAGCTACGTCATTCAGCACTTCAGTCAAATAAGTTACCACTCATCTATTCAAGCAGTTATTTACCTCCTAAATGGCTGAATAATAATCACTGACCAATCACTAGAGAGTAGCCATCTTCATGTTCATTTTGTTCTGAGGTATTCAGAATCCCTCAATGCAATGTAATTACCGACAGAACAATGATTTCTTTCCACACCAAAAATAAGATGCCACTAGAAGTGAAGGTATATTTACTTCACCCGAATACTGCAGTTATAGCTGGACATTCCGCTGTTTATATACTTTTTCAACGACCTTGAAATACCAGATTTAAAGTATGAAATGGACCAGTCAGCGTAGAAAGGGCGCGAAAATAAGATTCGAATTTTTTCTAATGTAAATGTTAACATATTATAGTTTTGGGAGGGGGGGGGATCCCTAACAGTGTTATTTAACAGTTTCAAAATATATTTAATGGAAAATCACTCTTCTCAGTGATATCATTCTTAAACTGTACAGTCGGATATATTGTCAATAGTCTATTCACATGGCAACAGAAAAGGCATATGTTTCATAAAATATTATTGAAAGAAACTCAGTTTCGATTCCAAATCAGGATAACAGTAAAAAGTGGATAATATGATATGTGAACATAGTAATGAGAAGAGGACTTAACAGGATTGAAGAGATATACCGTTACCAAGTTGAATGATATGCGGTAAAAGAGAATGGTGAATGTAATAAGAAATTAGAATTAGCGGGGTGGGGTAGAGTTGGGAATCGAGGAATGTGATGTGTGTGAGAAGATATGAACGAGAAAATTTTGAGGATGAAAGTTCTCATAGGTTGTGTCCATTGTAAGTGGATAAAGGTCTTTCGAGTGCATGACGATTCGGCACCTTAGAGAAGTTCCAAGTGTATACATTTCATGAGGCTTACAAGTACTCTGTAGATGATACTGTTTTCTACATTTACAATTCACCCAGGATGGTCATAATCGACCAAGTGTTCTCTAAAATGGAGGTGTAAAGTGCTCATGTTCCTCCTTTGGAAAGTGAAGTGTGTGTGTGTGTGGCCAACACATCATTACTCCTACAGGAGCAGATGAATTGATCAACACACACACACATCAAGAAGGGAGCTAACTTATCTTCTGTGTATAATTGAAGCATTGGGTAGATAGGTGGAGAAAGTTAATCTGAGTTTGTGAGCACATTAGAAAAGTCTATCTTGATGAGGAAGTCAGATGTTGTCTCCGTTGAATTATTAGCTCATGAAAAATGACTTCTTAGGAGCTGTAGGATACTAGTGTAAATCTTATGGCACATAGAGTGAATTCGAATTCCTTCGATACATATAAACACCTTACTCTGGAAATCGTAGGTATTCCGTTATTAGTAGGTTTTCTGTGGATAGATCCTTCAGTGACTGATAGTCGATATCCCTGCATCCTTAGCAAACATATCACACGGCAGTTTCTGAATCATAAAACTTAGTTTATGACCGCCTTCATTATCGTTATTGCCTACGTCTTATTTCACTTGGTCAGTTTAAAAATTAAGTATAATTGCATAGTAACGGCATCTTTTCTGGGGCATAATGGGGTAGATATCCTTAGAAAGCGACTATCTGCATCTACAGACAGAACATTCCTTGTCATCAATGTTAAAATTATATTCTTCTGTCAGAAAAGGATTCACCAGTAAGCAAAGGATAAAGTGCCTCATCTGTGTCTATATAACAGGTTACTTGCTCTTGTGAAATGTACGTCAAATCTATCTCGACTTCCTCACACTGCATATTTGTTGAGTAATTGGTTCTTGGTTCATTGGTTAGTTCCCAGTCAAGAGTTCTTTATTGTGAATTATTTCTGGACATCTGAGCCTCAGTAAGTAAGGAGCCAGTGTAGGTGGCAGTTGTTGATGAATGTTTGTAGTTTGTTGGAAATCCCTCCCTTAATGCGCCAAGTCTCTCAACCATCACATAGAAGCATAGCACTGACTTGACTGGATTGAAGTTGAAAATCCGGATGTTGTTCACGTTTTGTGCAAAGAGCACTGAACAAGATCTTCACAGTAGTTTCAGGTTAATGCAAGATTGCCAGTCTTGCTTCTCCTATCCTGGATGGCTTTGACGTCCACGTGTGTGCCTGTGCCACTGCATGTAGTTGAAACAGTGCTGTCTAGATAGGTGAAAGAAACTACTTCCTTTAAGTTTCTCCCATTGATGTTGATTGGTGCTCATTGTTGTTGTTGTTGGTTGTGTATGCTCATCACCTGTGTCTTGTCTACGTTCACTTGAAGGGAGTGCCATCTTCGCTGCCCTATCTCTTCTATCAACTTGTTAGTTTCACCTGTAGATCTTCAAGTTTGTTTGACATTAGATAGAAGTCATGGTTGGCGAAATCCACATCTTCTAGGTTCTTTTCCCGGGTCCAGCGTATCCCCCTCTTCTCGCTCCTCACAGTTTGTTACATGATCCAGTCCACTACAGTCAGGAATATCATGGGTGAACATAGGCGGCAGCCTTGTTTTACTCCTTTGTTCGCTTCAAGGTCATGTCATGTAAATATGACATAAACATTATGAAGAATTCCATTTTCACATGACCATAATCTCAACATATTGGATAATACATCTGTGAAAAATCCGGTACAAAACTTCAAATTATTATTATTTCGACGTCAATTTCACAACGAAAGATTGAAAGTCCTTTAACCCTTGTATACACACACTTTTGAATACCATCCCAATATTCATACTTTACTAAGTGAAGCAGAATTCGACCTGATGACCGACTGGTTGGATGTTGAACGTTTAGAAAAGTGAGAGACGGTTTAGATTTTAGATTTCATTAGGTATCTACATTTCAGCAATACTTCAAGAAAGCATTCTGATACCTTCAGCCTTTGAATCTGCTATAAAAATGAATTAGATCCTACTACATGAGATTTTTAACATACCATACTTGTATTGCATACGGCAAAAACTATGGGATCAGAGTGGATGTTTTGTAGATCAACTGTATACTTGAACCATCTTCCTTTTGAGGCAGAAGTATATGGAATAATGACAGGTGGTTATTATATTCTCTTTCGTATGCCAAAAGTGTACACGCCTAGCCAGTACTCAGTCCTTCCAAAAGCATATTTATAACCACCTTCTCATCATCTCTTCTCCTCATGTGGGTTAGCAAATGTCTGAAACGGCTTCCAATGAAAAAATTGGCTTACATAATATTTATTCTAGTGTTTAAACTCCAAGAAGCTTAACAACGGCCTGAGAATACACGTAACTTCATGACAACCAGTCAGTTAAGTCGGATGTGAAGACATATACTCAGTGAAAGCATTGTATAATTGACCCAAGTAAGGACAATTATAGTTTCATCTTTTCTAACTAGAATCAGTCCATTGTGAATGACGAAAAAATGTTGCTTGAAAAATTATACTACTTGTAAGTAGCTCAATTATTTCACAGAAATAATTTCAGATTTCAAGATAAGTACACATTTGTTTATCAATACGGTGAATAAAATACGTTTTATCAGTGTAAAAAAAGGTGTTTCTCTTCAACTAGTTCATCGTCAAGCTATAAAGTTCTGTTTATTATCGGTTAAATGTCAGAAAAATGTGCCAAGAAGTTCTTCAGACAATAAATAAATGATTCAACTGGTGGTGGGGGAGAATGATGGTGTTCACAGGCAATGTATCATCAAACTTGACCTTTCCTGGTGGTCTTGCCTCTTCAACCTCTGCATATTTGTTATATTATTATCCTGTCATCAGATTTTCAGCTCATAATAACTCCTAATTTTAATCTTTTAGGTTCGACTCATTATATTCGGTTGTATTTTGTTTCTTGATTATCATTTCATCCGCTTACTTATTCTCTTTTCCTGGATTGCAAAGTTCTAGTTTGGTTATCTCTACCTAATCTTTATGAGAATTTTCCCTCCCGTGGGATAGATGTATATTTATAACATCATTTCATGAGATTTTCACTTTATTCCAATCGCTACAGTTTCCTCACTTTGCAATATATAGTTGTCACATTTTGACTGATTTCTGTGCACTAACGTTGTAACCGGCTGATGAGAACTGACGAAATAGTGAAATGGATGCATATTATTTGGCTGGAACATTTGACCGTTTCACAGCTGATTAGGGGAAAAGTGTGTATAAAATATTTGAACTACTTGTTAGTAGTATAATTTTTGATGCCAAAGTTTTCAAGGTCTGTTTGACTATACTAATGCGTAGAGTATGATAATCGTTAGGAAATGTTTTGTGTAAGCAGATTCACTGCTGCCTACTTCCACGTGGAATGCTAACATGAATTGGATTAGGTTCACGAAATCTCTGATTGTTAGTCTAAGGTGTGTAAGGAGATGACGATTGTTAGGCTGAAGTCTCTGAGATACTAGGAATCGCCGTTTGAGGGCTCTTGATGAAATGGCGGATAATTGGTGAAAATAGTGTAGATGTTGTTACGTTTCGGAGACTGGTATATGCTTCGGCTGCTGATGATTCATAGATACCTAGTGTCAGTCTATAGCGTTCAACAAATTCCTATTTGATTCCCGACCGGACTAATTAATGGAAAAGACACGTTGGAACGTGTAGAAACGTGTATTGGGGTCTTTTCTGTGCATCTGTCTGACCGACACAGAAGGAGCTTCTCCATGTTTACTGGGAGGATCAGTAGTCTTCTTGATATTCTTTCGGCTGGCAGGTGCATGAATATCAATACCAGCTATGAAGCCCACAAATTTATCTACAGATTGAGAATGAGATATTTGGCGATATCTGTAAGATAACTTTTGTACAAGTCGGTATGTTTGTTAGCAGCGAAAACTGACCTTATCGACCGCAGCATTACAGTTCAGGCATCAATTTTTTTTAGGTCTACAAGATTTGACGAAATGCCAGGCACCAGAATACCAGCAAGGTGATGGGGATGACTTCTTTGAGGGTCGGTTGGTACTGCATGAGTTACTGAACCGATGAATAGGCAAGACAAGACCAGGAGATGTATGGCCATACGGTGATGCAGAGGAATGAGATGTCTGGCAAACTGTATGTACTTCACAATCACACCGGCGTCTGAATTGGGCTAAATTTGTATCACGCTATATGTTAACCACTCGTTGATATTCTGCAGACATATCATTCAGTATCTTGACTATGTCGTCGAAAGTGTGATTGGGCAGGTTCTACCGCGAAATCGAGGTCAGATGGAGTAGGTCAAGGTAAGAGACGTACTTTTCACGAATCATCTGGATCAACAAAATCCACTTTGAAGAAGTCTTCAGAACGCCTGAACCAAGCACCAGAAGTCTTATCAGTATCGGGATCGTAGTGAAAGCAGTATTAAAACAGGCGTAGTAGGCGATGATTCAGTAACACAGAGTTTTGAATTGCCTAAGTATCTCGATAGTGGTCATTTGTAATCTGAGGAAATTGTCCAACTTCGAAGAATCTCTTCCCAAATATCCGTTCTCCAAAGCCACTGTTGATACGGTGGACCGCGGAAAAGAACCTAGAAGATGTGGATTTCGCCAACCATGACTTCTGTCTAATGTCAAACAAACTTGAAGATCTACAGGCGAAAACTAACACGTTGACAGAAGAGGTAGGGTAGCGAAGATGGCACTCCCTTCAAGTGAACTTAGAGAAGACACAGGTGATGAGCATACACAACCAACACCACCACCACCAACAACGACAACAATAAGCACCAATCAACATCAATGGGAGAAACTTAAAGGAAGTAGACTCTTTCACCCACCTACGCAGCATTGTTTCAACTACATGCAGTGGCACAGGCATAGACGAGGACGTCAAAGCCATCCAGGATATGAAAAGCAAGGCAGGCGTTCCTGTATTAACCTGAAACCAGTGTGAAGATCTTCTTCAGTGCTCTTAGCACAAAACGTGAACAACATCCGGATTTTCAACTTCAATCCAGTCAAGTCAGTGCTATGCTTCTATGTGATGGTTGAGAGACTTGGCGCAATAAGGGAGGGATTTCCAACAAACTACAGACATTCATCAACAACTGCCACCTACACTGGCTCCTTACTTACTGGGGCTCAGATGTCTAGAAATAATTCACAATAAAGAACTCTTGGCTGGGAACGAACCGACGAACCAAGAACCAATCACTTAACAAACATGCAGTGTGAGGAAGTGGAGATGGATTCAGCATACACTGAGAAGGCCGATTGGGGACAGCACACACCAGGTCAGGCCGTCGAGTGGAATCTACGTGGGAAACGACGAGTTGGGCGCGTCAGGTGAGAGTGACATGGAGGAGATGGTGTGACGAAGAAATGAGAGCTTGTGGGCTGCCTAAGAGTCAGGTTGCAAAGCTTACAGAGAACGGAGTGGTATGGAGGCGTGCTACTCAAGCGGTATGCTCCACTCAGAATTCAAGGGACAAATAGTAATAATAAAGCCACTGTAGTGATTTGAAAACCGCTTTGTGCTATGGACGCTAAAAAGTCAGTGATATTGAGTGTCAGCCTACAACATTTAGCAAAGAAAATATATGTGTAGAAACCTGTATTAGAGTCAGAAGACTGAAGACCCTACAACAGCCAAAATCCAATAATCTTGGCCTGAACGTGGGTAACAACTAGGCGGTGCCAACTTACGCAAATTTGCATAGTTCTTGCGTCCTACTGTATAGTTTCCGAACCCGAATGAGTGACGCAGAATCAAAGGTTGGATCAACAATATCACTGGTGTGCTTAACTGCTTAACTACCAACCAACTAACAGTTACACCATATTCTCTTTTTCTTTTCTCTTTGTAAAAATAAAGATAATGTACAATAATCTATTTCTTTGTTTCTCTTCATTACAAGGAGTTGGATTTAGAAGTTGAAAAAACTGACAAAACACCGAAATGAATTAAAATCTAAACTGGATACAGTATACACAAACACAATGATTCATCAAGTTGAATTTGATAGTCTTAGTAAAGAGGTGAAAAATGCCTATACAGAAAGAGATACATTAATTAAACAATGGGAGAATGTGATCAATCAAATGAGGCAACGTGATATTGAATTAGACCATTTTTCACAGGTTAGAAGTGTTGATTATCATTGTTGAATATACTGACTATGTCTGTTTGTCTTCTTTGTATCAGCCTTTTTGTCCAGTCACTCACTCTTTTACTTCAAATGACCTTCACTCTCTGGATTTGTTTATTGCATGTTTATATCTACCTTCGTACACCATTTTGCAACTGTGACCTTCAACTCTGATTGGTTGTTCTTATCTCGCTCTGATTGGTGTAGAATGGTATAAATCAAGTGATTAGTTTGTTGCTCTATGAAGTGATTGGCTGATTTTTTATTGACTATTTCATTCGTTGCCCAGGTCACCGTTCTAGATTTTATCACTTCATAAAATTTATTGTAGGGCATTGTGAGTCGCCTACTCACTGGTTCAGGTATCTTGTCTGATTCACCTGATTCTACCGATATAATCTTAAGCCTGACCTTGGATATGATTGGTGTGGAATACACCTTTCCAGTCTTGCATACTCAACGATGAATCAAGCAATTCAGCCCTCACCTGATCACACTGGATATGCACAAAATATGCGTTAATGTACAATAATGGATGGATTTTAGTGAACAGGTAGTTATCTTTGAACTATAAGTCATATATAAATGGATGAGGAGTTGATTAAAAGCTTCTCTCTCATAGTTAAGATGACTTATCTGAGATAAACTAATGTTTTCCACTTTTCAGCTGGATATAACAGACTCTTTATTGTAAAACTTTACTTTCAGATGCTCCACTGGATTTTAAAAACACCAATTAAGTGAGGTTAAGAAATCGGATGGACAATCAAGTTGAACAACCAATCACAACACTCTTTGTTAGACCAATGTAATGATAATCTTTAACTTCATGTTGATAACATGATAAAAAATGTCAATCTTACAGAAAAGAGTATCCCAATACATACAAGAATCTCATCTGAAATACTATAACGTAAACTCTGATTGGTTATTCAAGGTCATTCATACATATGACCTTTCTGCGTAGGTGCCGTTCAATTTTTCATCCACACAAACTCCTCCATTTCAACTAAGAAATGATGACACATACCACGTAATATTGGACTGGTATGCATTCAAAGCAGATAAAGTCTCTTCTAAATTGAGACAGAAACACATATGAGAATTCAATCCAATATGTAATCATAACCGGAGTGTAAGTACAAATAGCTGCTGATAGCTCTGGATGACAGTTGTAACTACATTGTGAAGTGAAGGTATATCAACAGTTCTAATTTTAAATAAATCACGATTTCCTAACACTTGGCTCCCTTCTAAGTACTTTCATGAAGGTAATTTCTAAATTGCGTCGATTACGTTGTCTAGATAGACAAATCATTAGTGATTCACAACCTTAAACTGGATCTTAGTGTTTGGAAGTACTACGTGTGATTTTATCAGCCTTAGCGTGGTCAGAGTGGGAATTTCCTCCTGTCTGTAGAAACAATACGATGTCACCCTAATTCATGACTCCTTGACAGTGAGATCACTCATGACAGCAATAGAGATCTTGTCAATGACAGTTGACATTCTTGAGCCAACACGCTAATCACTCAACCAGACGACTCGTGAATATGATCGGAAAGCCCTTGAAGACTAATCATCTAAATGCTTACTAAAATTAACAGACTACTATTTTGAGATGTGTGAAGCTTGTCTCCAATGTGCTATGATTCTGCCTGGTTGTACATGTGACTGTTAATTCAGCATTAACGCCGACCTTGAACGTGATTGGTCTGATATATGCTTGTCCAGTTTCATATAATCAAACCACTCACACGATGAGTCATGCAATTGTGCCCTCACACCAACTGCAACATAACATAAAGTCTGATGCTTCTTGTCCGTATATTTTAAGCGATCTGATTGGTGTTTATGTATACAACTGAATCATGTGACCTAACACTGACCTTGAACGTGATTGGTCTGGCTTATACTTGCTGAGTCTCGTATGCCCATTCCATTCACAAGATTAATCGGCGATTCGGCCCTCTGAATATATTTCAGGAGATCTGATTCACCTATACATCAAACTGAATTACTTGACTATAACGCACCATTGATTTATAAAGATGTAATAACCAATTTCAAGCACAAAACACTGAAAACTGCATAACAGTAGGTTTCACTTAACATGCAGTTATTTCTAAACTATAGGTCATAGAGAAACAAATGAGATGTCATTCAAAAGTTCTTGAACCAAGCAACATGAAAATGTTATCAATTAGGTCATACGTAAACAAAAGGTAATATGACCAGCTATATTTACCTGGGATTCACTGACGTTTTCCACTTTTTCGGTTGACATGACCGAAAAAATGACACGAGCCAAGCCACTGGGCTACACACTGTTTTCTATCCCAAGTTGTTATTCATCGCAGACTGACATCAATTGAAAGAACAGAGGAAATCTGGAAGCACTGGATAGGTGTTTCGTCCTAGTATGGGACTCCTCAGTAGTGCGTACTCATGACCCAGCAGAGAATCGAACCCGCGACCTTCGGGTTCCGTGACCAGGACGTTACCAAACTCATGGAAAAGTGACGCCAAATTGAACCATTGAACAATTTTTCCGCCTTTTTTTTCTGTAATTCTCCATTTTCAGCGCCTAAATCAAGCAAAAGCTCAAGTTTGTGAACAAAAACAGTTGAACAAAGAAAAATTGAATTTTCTTCACTTACAAGAAGAAAATAATGCTGAAGTGAAACGTAATTTGAATGAAATTATCAAAAATATAGCTCAGTTTAAACAAGATTTAACTGATACTGAAGCGAAACGTCAAGATTTCCATAGTGAGGTGAGTAATCACTACAGGCTGTTTGTATTCTACTAATGGTGAAGTCTGGCATTGTTTATGTAGGACCAAGCGCAGAGATGCATCAGTTAAGTTTGTTACAAAGCGATGGTCGGTCATCCGTTTGCCTTCTTCTTCTCACTTAGTCTTACATCAGCTAATATCGAGGAAGATGTTGGTTGCTGGGCATAAATAACATATGGCTAAGCCATCTCAGTAGATACCAGTTCACAATCTCACTCACTGATTTGTTTCCCTTGCCTAATGCTTCCTATCTGACCCCATCATTGCTTACTCTATGGTTCGACAACATGCTTGAGTTTCTCTTCCGTTCCAAATCCAGTGTCTGTCACTTTCAACGACTACGTCTCATAGGCATGTAATGGGATGTGGTGAAGTTTTTCATAGTATATTCGCCTTTGAATGAGCAGCTGGACGGTTCATCAGCGCCAGGAATAGTATTAGTTGGCGAGTTCCAGATTTCTGACAACCATCGGTCAGTAAAGCATATTTGCATCGATGAAACTCATGATCGCCTACTATTTCAAAAATATGACCCTCTAGCCTAAGTTACTCAGATCAAAACTAATCTCCTTTATGAGTACAGCACATAAATAACCTGATTACTAGTTGGTAACTTTGATTCCAAACATCGGTCAACAAGAAACGTGTGACAGTGCAAGTCCTGTGTATTATTATGTATGTACGAGTTGATACAACAACCAATAATATCACACCAACTGACCTACAGCGAAGATAACTTTGATTGGTCTAGAACACATTATGCTCAATAATTTGTTTGTAATAAGATATATGGGAAATCTACATGACCTTAAAGCGTGGGCGACCTGATTAGAATTTTTTAACCAATGAGAACAAAGATAAACGCATGAAGGACATTCAGGAATGTATATATAGCAGAGAAATACGCCAAAATCTGCCTCTTTATTCACTTTCTATTTCTGATCTCAACTTTCTAATTCTTAATTCAGATAGTGTTAGAAATTATTGATTGACTAATATTGACTAGGTGGCTTGCAGTAGATGACCTGGTAACATGAAATTTGGGTAGTTGAACTCATAAAGGAGATTATCCCATCAGAACTATAGTAGGCTTGAAAAACACTCCATCTCATGAGACATTGAAATGTGTAGGGGGTAGTACTAGGTTCAATTGAGATCCACTTGAAATCTCGAGACACTAACTCTTATGACTTAAAGCATAGATTAGATGATATACACTGAAAAAAGTCGTTATGTTGACATTAATGGCTTTGCACGAATATACCGATCGACTTGGCTCTGTAGGCGGTTAGTAGTAAGTTTTCATGATAACACTGAGCTTACGCTTCGAACTAAGGTGCCCTTTGAGGCGAACGATTGTGCCTGACATCTAGTTTTTAACTTCCAAACTGAAAGGGTTGCCAATGTCTCCTTATCGTCGCAGACATATTTTGGGATAGTTAGGAATGGATGGTCCTTCACACATTTAGTCCTACTCCAAAGATATGGTTCTGATATGTAGATGACACATTTCCGATACTGAAATTGAAACAAATCAACAGGTTGTTGACACATATAAACTCTGTAGCGACTTAGAAAGTGATAAAGGTGAGTTAGTAATGTTGGATTGCAAGAATAAATGACAAAAGACAGAAGTTTAGAGACGAGTGTCGTCTATAGGAAACCTTCCCAATCGAATAGCTACTTAGACTTCGAATCAAGCTACTCCATCTCAGTTCATGTAGGTTTAGTTAAACGCCTTAGTGAAAGGACAGAAAATCTACAGGGAGAAATTGGACATATCAAGAATACCTTGAATTTAAGGCAACGAACTCGCTTGGAAACAAGTTTTGTAGATTAAGAGATCCTGTTGATGCAGTTATGCAAAATAATCTGGCTTTACAAATCCCTGGAATGACATAGTAGTCGGCTAGACCTAATTAGGATAACAGAGCACAAAAACGTGTCTATATGAAGATTGGTAGATCCTAATAAGATAAGAAATTGAGAGGAAAGTTCAACTGGGTATAGCCCTGCACTTAATTATACTCAGTGGGGTGGGATAGAGGGATAGGTATGTCAAATTAACCTAGTTAGGTGGAGGAAGGGAAGAAAAGATTCTATACCTGTTCCAGATATCAGAAAAATACATAGCATGTCTCAAAATTGAGGAGTGATATGATATAAATATGGACAGCAAATTGTATCCCAAATATCAGCCAGTATAGGGTGCTGTTCCACTGTTTGACACATCCAACCATTAGACTAAGGTGAAGTGAGTTGCGCAACATGAAAAAGATATTTGAAGAAGGAATCGTTATGTTAAAAGCATCAGAACAAGCATATCGCCTTTTGGCAAATCCCTTCTTGTAAACTGTAATCGACTATGATGCGGTAATTCAAGAAGGTGAAAGCTTTATGACAAAAGTTACATAAATTTAGTTGGTAGAATATTTGAAATGACCTTTTTCCCGCCTTTTTTGCCCCAAGGTTATCCCTTTCAAAAACGCTAGTTTCTTATTAGTTAATCTACCATTTTTAATATGCTTATTTGTTTGTTCACCTCAAAGATGCCTACAATGTATACAAATGCAAGAGGTGCTTCCCTTGGATTCATAATTTAGTTGTGTTTTACACTTTTATGCCTTCGCTTAGTAGTGATTATTGTCTGAATCACGTGATTTCTACAACGAACTTCTACCTTGCTAAATGGATCGAAAATTAGTCTGGGAATGAACCAATCAAAATTTATTTCGTGATTATAATGCGTAAAGCTTGACTAGCAGACAACCAATCAACTACGAGTGTCCTTCAAATGTCTGTTTTTTGTTCTCGTTATTTGACCTTCTGTCAGACCACCTACGCCTTTTCTAAATATCTTGTCAGACAATGACCTTGCCAGGGAGATCATCTTCAATGGTATTAATATGATATTAGATTTTCAGGTTAATGTTCAAGTTTGGTACAAAACGTCACCGGAGTGCAGACCGATTCCTATCGATCATATTTGCAATGTGGCAACCAAGCTAGGAAGCTTAGCATGACGGTGCACATTAGTAGATGTTAGTTAATTGGTTGCACTCCCGTGACCAATCGATACATGTAAGCCAGTCCTACAGGAGGTCAATCGCAGCCCAAATAACTCAGTGGTTAAGTCGCTGACTACAACACTGGGTGACGTGGGTTCGAATCTCAGGCGGGATATCAGTTTCGTCGAGGTTACAGATACGCCTTGCTGACGAGTGCCAGAAAGCACGAGGCCTAGGTGAGGCAGGGTTTCCAGCCGATCATCTCCAATCAACTAACAGAAAGCCACCTTTATGATCATCGAATTAGATCGTGATATAGAACGAAGATTAATATACTACAGGTTAGGGGAGTAGTTGGTTGGTCAGGGGGGCTTATTCTAGCTGTGCAAGTAAGTAAGTAAGTATTAAGAATAGGTTGAGTATAGAAAGTACAATGGAATGATGAGTCATCTTGCTACATACTTCCCGGTCTTCAATCTGAATATATACTCTACTTGTTTCAATGTGTTTTCTTCACTAATTAGCCAAGTCAAGAAATCAACTAAGAAGGTCTGCTACTCTACCGACTAGGTTGCAAGACTTAGACGCCACTGATTCGACTCAGGCTTCCATTTCACCTTTAATCATTCTTCAGTATCAAGTTGAAAGTCTACTAAGCTATCACTATCTCAATTAGTCAAACTGATAAATGTATATTATCCCATATTGTTGTTATTCTCTTGGATTTTAGCTAGAAGCATTAAAACGTACTGTCGATAATGCTGTTGCAGATTTAGAAGCAGCAAGAACTGAAAGTGTACAAATTAAAAAAGAAAAAGAGAGAAAAACTCAAGAGTAAGGTGGTTATGAGTGTATTTGTTATTCATTGTTCAATGCTCAATGTTCAATGTATATTTTCAATTTTGATTGAACATATTTCAGATCATGTAATATCATGGGTTTTTAACAGGAACCTGCAATTGAATAATTGCAAGTGATGTACTTCACTTCGTAGTGATAAATGTAATATTTTAAGTGTTGAATAACTGGGTCATTTAGTTTGAAAGAAAGTTAATTCGAACCCCCGTCTTCCAAGACTATTGTATCATGTTAGTTCGCTGTATATACGACTCTGTTTTACTAAAAGACATATTCTTCGTGTGAGTCACTGTACAAGAAGACGGGTTGAATTCCTTATTATTCAGATAAATCGGTGAAGTTAGGTGAAGGATATTATACATGGCAGAAAAGTCGATAGATGAGGGTTCAGGCTAGTCATGTGGAGAGATATAGACTGTCTGGTTGAGTAATCAGTTGTTGAAGATCCTTAGTGACATGGCTGAAAATCGATCATAATGGAGCAGATGTATCCACACAACACTGTCTACTTTGGTATCACTCCTTTTCTATCCACCTATACTTTGTTTACTACTGTGAAGTGTGATAATTTGAGGTGATCAACATATATGTAATGTTCCACATTGATTTCTTTAGTCATGACAACATATGAAGTCTTCAGGTGTTCTACCACCGTCTTATTCATAGCCAATGGTCATTTTGTTGTAGAACCACCACATTAGAAACTTAGAAGTTAACCACTAGAGTCTTAGGTAAAGAAGTAAGTTAGTTGATTTCCTTATGAAACTTTCATCTACTCGTATGACTGACACTTGAGCTAAGCATACTCCGCCATCGACTACCCTATCATGAAACGATAGCTGAATTGAGTTCCTTATGCTGAAAAAAAAGTTAGACATGGTTAGACTAAAACATGGCCACAGTCGATAACACACATAGAACCTTGTACACAGGAGCATCAGCTCAACTTGCCACACTTCACAGAAGTACACAAAGTGGTTGGAAAGGGAATGATATAAAAGTAGATAAAATAGTGTGTCTTAAAGCCATGAACAGACTGCAAGGCAGTGTACTCGTCCTTTGAAACTGGAAGTACTTGGAGCACATCAGTCTTGGACCATCAACTTAAATTTTTCAGGTGCGAAAAGCCTACCAGCCAGACATATCCAGATTTCTGCTCAGCTGCTGAACTTAGAAGATCCTGCTTTTTCTCAGCATCTTCGCCTGGCTGGACAATATCTTTACATACTTTACGTCAACCAGGTGACTTCCAGGGAGTAGATCAATTCCTTTGAAGTCAGACATACGTCCATTAGTACATGTATGTGGGGTGACAGTGGACACCTCTGGTGTACACCAGTAGTTGTTGTCGCCTCCCTTGACAACTCTGTATAAGCCTTCACACGACTGGATGAGTTTGAGTAAAGAGCTTTGATGAACAGCGTATACTTCCCCGATATTGTCTTCTTAGTTAGACATTGCCATAGCACCTCATGGTCGACAGAGTGAAATGCCGCCTTCAGGTCAATAAATATTCCGAGTGTCAGCCGCCTGTACGTATCGCTGTGTTCCAGAACCTGTCGAAGAGTGAAAATCTGATCAACGCACCCTCAGCCAGGTTCGAAACGTGCCTAGTTATCTTGAATCCTTTATCTTGAGCTCCAGTACGGAGTTAGACAACTATGGACCCTAGGATTTTAGACAAAAAATTAGTCAAGCTAATTCATAGAACAGAGTATAGAATGCCAGTCAACTCTCTACCTCAACTTCATCGACTTCGAAAATGCCTTTGACAGAGTCGACCGAGAAGTAATTTGCCAAGCGACTGCTTCAACACTACGGAATACCACAAACCCTTTTCAGCCTCGTTCAGCAACTATATGAATACGCCACATGCCAAGTAATTCACAATGGGAAGCTTAGTGATGCTTTTGAAGTGAAGACAAGAGTAAAAGAAGGCCGTTTACTATCACCGATGATCTTCCTGATGGTAGTAGACTGAATCATGCAACAAACAGTGAGGAGCGAGAAGAGGAGGATACGTTGGACCGGGGAAAAGAACCTAGAAGATTCGGATTTCACCGATCAATACTTATGTCTAATATCACACAAACTCGGAGATCTACAGGCGAAAGCTAACAAGTTGACAGAAGAGGCAGGACAGCGAAGAGGGCACTTCAAGTGAACATAGAGAAGACACAGGTGATACGGATACCTAACTAATGTCACCAGCAACAACAACCAACTCCAATCACCGTCAACAAGAGAAACCTTATGGAAGTAGCCTCTTTCACCTATCCAGGCAGCACTGTTTCAACTACATGCGGCGGCACAGGCACAGACGAGAACATCACAGTCAGGATCGGAAATGCAAGACAGGCACTCCTGCATCAACCTGGAACCAGAGTGGAGATCTTCTGCACTCAGCTTCTGGAACAACATCCGGATTTTCAACACCAATCCAGTCAAGTCAGTGCTTCTGTATGGTTCAGAGACTTGGTGCGTTACGAAAGGGATTTCCAACAAACTACAGACATTCATCAAAAACTGCCTACACTGGCTCGTTACTGAAGATTAGAAGGCCAGAAATAATAAGCAACAAGGAAGTCTGGCAACGAACCAACCAAGAACCTTTCGCTGAAAAAATATGCAGTGGAACAAATTGGAGATGGATTGGGCATGCACTGAGAAGTTCATTCAGGACATCACGCACCAGGCTTTTGAGTCGAACCCAAATGGGAAGCGACGAGTTGGTCGTCCGAGTCAAGGGTGACATGGAGGAGATAGTGTGAGGAAGAAATGAGAGTTTGTGGGCAGTGGTGGAGCCAGGTTGAAAAGACTGCAGAGAAGAGAGTATAATGGAGGCGTGCTACTGAAGCCATATGTTTCACTAGGAATCCGAGAGACAAATAATAATAATAATAATAATTCCTCTATGGTGGTTACAAGAAGATTGATCCCCCTCCTTATAAACTTGGTAAAACCAGTAGATGAAGTTTCCGACTATTATGTAGGGTCATGTAGACTTCTCCTTTGGCATCGCTTGGCAAAAATAATTGGCGATGGTGATTTTTGCTGATGTTGGTCAGAATTGATGTCAGTTCAACAGATGTTTCAAGTTAATTATCACATTGACTTTCGCTGTTATTTTATTTATCCCAACTATCATTTCAAACTGTTAACAATATCAGCTATCAGCCGCCAACGTTCAACAACGGTCCAGTTGATTCCTAACCCGACGAATTAATGGAGAAGATTGCGTGAAACGTGTGAGAACAATTATTTAGGCCGAAGATGAGTTTTGTACATAACAATGCTGACTGTATATTCTCATCCTGATGTGTTTATGTATATCCCCAGAATGTGTGTCAAATCTAAACTGTTTACATACATTGGTTCCTGAACCAATGTGTATGAGAGAGAGAGGGCGAAAGGGAGACAGAAGGATAGTGGATAGCCACCGTAGTTAACGGCTCTTCTGAGTATGATTTCATTACAGTTTCACTACAATAGGTCATAGTAAACTACTGACTAGCACACTCGTCTTTTAATCAATGATCGAAGGTGTCACCATCTCCATGGGTAGCATAAGTTGGTAAATAACAACTGGATCTTTTCTTATCAAAGTTGGAATTTCATCGATACAGCTAATCAGGTGATTGATGTAGGCAAAGTATTTCACCTTTTAAACTCTCTTTTCTTCAACTAGGAATTGGCGCATCTTCAATCAGATAAGTAGAGAAATGCAGACTTAGTATACTTAGATTTCTGTTCAATGAGTTCAGAAGACTCTATTTTTTCTCAGTTTCTCTGCCTAACAAGACAATATCATCAGGATTCTCTACTCTAACTTAGCCAGTTATGTGCTCCAATAGTAGACAACACTGTATAAAAGAATATGTTTTGACATTATCTGACTGTAAATGTCGTAAGCATATGATTCGCCGGTTCAGTCCTAACGATGACCTTCCACGCGATTGGTCTAACATACACTCAGTCCACACACTTGGTAAGTGAGTCACGCAGTTTTGCCCATCCAAACGACTCCAACGTCACAATGTTTCTAGTCAGCACACTTTAGTTCCAACATCAATACCATTAAAAAGCTTTAGAATCCACAGAAGGTGGCAAGATATACAACCAGCCTATGTTGACACACAATTCCGTTTCTTCCAACTAATCTTTTTTCGTTCTTTATTTTATACTACTCATTATTATTGAGTAGTGTCGTCATATTTCACACATTTTGCCAGAACAAATGCGTCGCCTATCCACGTTGCTTTCAATTGAAGCCTAGTTGAGAATCCTATATAGTGTCTCTGAGGTGCGTTGCTTTCATGGCTAAACTCTAGAGGTTTTGGATTCTCCCTTCACAGTATTACCGATATAGAAAAGAGGATGAGAGAAATAGAACTGTGATAATCATGTCTGCAAGTTCGGGAGCCACCTTCATACGACGACGGATAATAAATTTAGTCCAAAACATCGTGATCCAATGAATAAGCCTGTCTTACTGTGCCATACACTTACTCAATCAATGAAAAACAGAACTAACTTAAGCATATTTAAACTACTGAAATCTTTGGATGGAAAGTAGTCCTCTCTGATATTTATTCTGACTTCACAACCTGTTACTCGTATGCATCAAAACATGAGGCATAAATAGGAGCAATAACGACTGGTGAGAATGGTGACATCGTTCACACGGTATCATCAAGTGCTCAAGGCCATTACTGTAGCGTTTAAACATGAAATAGCTATCTCAGAGGATTCTCATAATAACGAAGTATTAAGCAAAATTTGCCAAATTTCTCATCAGCCGTTTATCAAATAGCCATTCACATTTAAAAAACTCTTGGCCTTGATATCAATGACCTTCGCCCATTCGTTATCAATGCCTTCAATGGTAGACACCACCGTAGAAAAGACTTTGTCTGGTTGTAGTTGTCGTAAGTATATGATTCGCCGATTCAGTCTTGACGCTGACCTTGCACGCGATTGGTCTAGTATACACTCAGTCCACACACTTAAATATATTACTGATGTAATGTCTCGTATTCAACTACGTGGTTGACTCATAGATATGGGAAAGTGTGAGTCATACGGTAGACAGTTAAGTGTGTAATTTTGTAGGTGTTGTATTCGACCTAGAAGTCACATAACTCATATCAATATTCCTATTGGTCCTTGCAACAGAACCAATCAACGTCAGTTTTGCCTTCATAAGGTTAATTTTTGATACGACCGCCTTTCTTGTCGATTCAGATTAATCAATTTCCCCTTTCCCCCCCCCCCCCGACCTCGTTAAATGTTCAGTCTTGAGAAAATTAAAGAAGCCGTTGAAAATGCACGTACACGCTTATCATATGTAACAGAGAGTAAATTAACCGCTGAACAATATGCTGATGAAGCAGATAAACAATTATCATCACAAGAATTAAATCATGAATTATACAGTAAACAATTGGATAAATTACGTAATGAGAAGTTTAAAATTAGTCAAGTGAGTCTATTTCTCTGTATGTTGTTTGTTGTGTTGTGTGTTGTTTCTTTTTCTGTTTGAGAGACGTTTTAGTGAAGGTTATCTCTAAACACGGAGAATTCTCAATCCTATTGTCGATGTATGTTGTCACTCTAGTTACTGGATGGCATGTCAGCTAGATGTTCCATCATCTCGTGGATGATGCTTTTTTCAGAGAGATTGTGACCGCCGCCTATCCTTTCAAACTTTCTGGGTTATATAAGCAACCCTTCGGAATTCAGACCATCAGGTGTAGGAGTATCTCAGCAAGAACTCAGTTGTCTGTTTTCTGTGTCTTAACCGCACACAATCAAGATTTAGGCGATTGATTCGCTTTGGTGCCGAGTTTTGACCAAAGTTTTTGATGGGTGGTACTTGATTGGAATGAATCGTTTCTTACTTGCTGGGACTCGTCAGGAAGAAGAATCTGCAACCCTGAAGGAAGTGATGTCCCGTCTGACATTCTGCCCTGTATCATTCAATGTTTAGAGCAAAGTGACGTTATCATTCAGCTATTCAGGTGACGGGCTGACGTCGGTTACTTCAAGGCTGTCCATACTCCATGCTGACGAGTGTACACAGGCTGAAAACCTAGGCGGAGCAGAATTTCCTGACGGTCGCCTCCAAGCAACTAGCGATGAAATAAACTGGTTGCAAGTAGATCCATCTGAGTGGTAAATTGCCACGAAAGACTTTAACGTTACAGATGATAACTGACATTTCTAAGGACCGGATTACTTCTTTCATGCTTCTTGGGACTCATCAGCAGGGCGTATCTGTAGTCTTGACTGAAATGATGTCATGAGAGAAATATGAATCCACGTTGAGCTATTCGTGCCACAAACCACCTCCTGTTGGCCTGAGATAGGACTGACAATTGTCTACTTGTTTTTCGGTAGTATCCATCATGCAATGATATCAGCTGGAAAGCAACTAAAAGCCTATCACTTAGTAACTAACGAACAACCGTAAACGTAACAGATCTACTATCGATAGAAAGTAACACACACCTGGAGATCACTTCATTCCAAAAAGAAAGATCTTCATATGATAAGAAATACTTCATTAATATAAAAATAGTCATCAGCGAAAAGATGCCATGCTTGCAACATAACCTTGTAAAATTTCGCTATCCGCTGATTGGTTATTTCATAGGCATAACGCCCACTCAAATAGATTAGAACAGCAAATGACCTTGAAAAGCTGTTCTCACGTGACTCAAGTGCTTTTTAACATATATCAGGTGTAAATAACAGTGAGTCATCATTGTTTTCATAGATCCTTCATTATTATTCCATTTTAGAAATATGAAGAATTAGTTCAAGCAGAGAAAGTATTGAAACAGACAATTTCTGGTAGTTTAGCGACAAAAAGAAATTTAACTGAAAAAATTCAACAACTAGACGCTCAACTACTGAAACAGCAAGAAGTACTATATCGTCAGGTGAGTTTATAAAACGTTTTCTGGGGGTAGTGTTGAACTGAGATGTATTTAATTATTTCTCCATGATTTTTACATTTTTAAGAGGTTAGTGAAGAATGGTTTAGCTTGATTGATTCATTTGCCTCCTCAACTAATACACATATTGATCTATGACTGTGTCATTATTATTTCTGCCTTGGGTTCCTAGTGGAACAAAGGGCTTAATTAGCCCCGCTCCACTGCACTCTGTTCTCTACAGTATTTTCAACCTAGCTCCATGACTGCCCACAAGCTCTCATTTCTTTCTCATATGATCTCCTGCATATCACCTTCACCTCGGACATCCAACTCGTCATTTCCTCTTTGGATTCAACTCGAGGGTCTGGCCTGGTGCTAGATGTCCCCAATCAGCCTTCTCAGTGTATATTCAATCAAATAGGTTCTTGGTTGGTTCGTCAACAGCCAGTCAGAGTTCCTTGTTGCTTAGTCTTCCTGCCCATCTGATCTGCAGTATTGGGTTAGCATAGGCAGCTGCTGAAGAATGTCTGCAGTTTGTTGGAAGTGCTTTTCATGATGCGCCAAGTCTCTCAACTATCTCATAGAAGCACTGACTGACTTAGTTTTGAAAATCTGGATCTTGTTCCAATTCCAGTGAGGAATAAGTTTGTTTTTATGCTTTATATTTTCTTTGTGCTTTGAAGTTTCTTTAGGGATTGAATTTCTTTCACGGGTTATGCTTGCTAGCCCTATGCCCAACATTCACTCTTTACCCGGGCTTAGAATCGGCTAGTAACTAGTGAACTAATTAACCAGGCGAGGTGGCACGGATACAAAAGGCTCGATTGACTTTTGCGAATTTACGCCACCTATTGCGCCGCCATGATATCCGTTTGTCTATTAAACGTGGCATGTACTGCACAGCAGTCCGCCTTGTTTGACTGTATGGCCGTGGAACATAGCCATTGAAAGTGGAAGAGATGAGAAGGCTTCAAGTGTTTGATCACCATCGCCTTCGTCGTACAATAGGCTGTATTCCGTGTGTCACCATGTGATTAATGCAGAAGTCAGGTGTAGAGTTTTGGGGAGAAGAGGTAAGTCAGTTGACGAGGTTGTGAACCTTCACCGACTGAGATGGTTGGGACACGTACTACGTATGCCTAGTCACCGATTGCCTCGTCACACAATGTTGGCTGAGGTGGGTCCAGGCTGGAGAAAGGCCCAAGGTGGCCAGACTAAAACATAGCACCAATGCATGAAGTCTCTGACTGTTGGTTTAAGCCATGTAGGACGATGCAGACTAGGTGGTTGGGGTCCACGGGAGAAGAGGAACCAGTGGTTGGAGACTGACTCTAGGTGATCACATGGGTCAGAACCGATGTCAGTGGTGCAGATGTATACACACGTATCCTCATCTTAACAACGCTATAGTGAATCTCGCCATTTTGTCACTCCTCTTTCCTTTCTTCTCGTACTTTATATTTATTTTGACTGCATTCAGTTATCTTCATCCTTCACCTCACTACCTTTTTACTTGATGTACTGATATGAGGTGTGGCAACTCGGACTGTAACTCAGTAAAGCCTGGTCCTATGTTGATATTGATTGATTGATTGGTTGTCTATGACTCTAATGATAACATTTTATTTTAACATAACATTCATCACTGGGTCAAAAGTTGAATGCTTATTCTGATTGGTCAGCTGAAGGACAAATTTATCCAATAAGGTTTTCTTGACCTACATAATGATATATGACCTTGATCGGAGTTGAAAATTTGTCTCTCTCTCTAAATGTTGGTTTCCATTTAGGCCAGTTCCTATCATTTCTACACCAATCTTTTGCTTTCGGTCACTAATGCTGTCATCATACTTTATTCACGGTATCACGGTATAAAAAAGTTGTGTGAGAAAATAAACAATTTAAAAACATAGTTCAGTCTGAATATTCAAGCTTTAGAAGATGCCGAGGTATGATTGATTTTCAGCTGGATTGCCAATAGTCAATCATCAAACACTGAGTCCTGTCATCCAGGAAATCTTATTGAAGCAGTTTACATCTCCCGACAGCTAGGGGACTTCATTGGATGGTTCTAGGCCCTGGTCTAGCCACCCCAAACCATCTTCTAACCTAATATAGCTTTTTGCTAGCATGATATGACAAGGTAGGCGGCAATGGATTGGCATATGTAACACATCCAAGCCACCACAGCTGATGATGGTTCACAATCTCATTGACTCACTTCCTTTGCTTGCCTAGTGGTTCTCGGTCAACCTCAACAATAAGCAATAATACGGAGATATCTACAGTCAAAATCGCTTCAAATCTTCCACCTCCGTCGGCCATGTCCTATGATATAAGCTCGGATATCTCAATAATGGGCACTATAGGTGACGCAAGTTGTTAAAAGCTAAAATGGGCTTTCCATATCCAAGCTGATATTCTGTTCCGCGCCGCCTTCAGGGGTTGGAGAAGTGAGATAGTAACACTAGAACGTACTCAAATCGGACAAAAAAACTGACTAACCAATGATTTGCGTTCACCAAATATTTGGTGTATCAATACATGATGATGATTGAAAATAAAAAGAAAATTTGTATCGCGGTGGGATTCGAACCCGCGATAACAAGGGTTTCCAGGCCTCGTGATCAACCAAACGAACTGCTGAACAAGAAGCTGTGGACTACACAGTGCAACACTTAGAAATATTTTGTTCTAATAGTATTAAAATACATCCTTACAATGATACAATGAGACTTGTCGCTCAACTTCTTCCAGGACATTGGTAACAACTATGGTCTGAATGTTTATGATTGTTTCAGATACCTGGTATCATCAAAGAACAGAGGGAATTAAAAGTATATGAGCCATGTCATAAAATTATCTAGTTACCTTGTTAAAACTGTGTAAGTTAATTGTCCGAATGCATAGACTTTTTTGATCGACGTGACCTGGTTTTTTATGATTAAGGTTTTATACTACTTTAATTATCAAGTAGTACAATTGTATTACTACAAAATAATGCTTTAGGAAAGAACCTTCATATCGAGTCTCTATTAGTTCGTGGACGTATCTTGCTCCGTTCACTTGTGTCCGTAACGTTCTGCATTGTTCGTCTAATGTCTTTTACCCTATCTTAAGAATCTTGGTGTTTCTGACATTTAGATGGAAATCTGGGTTTCAAGTCAACACATCCAACCTTTATTATCATTTATTTCCCTTCGGTTCCTAGTGGAACATAGGGATTCAGTAGCACGCCTCCAAACTTTTGAACCTGACTCCACGACAGCCCAGAAGCTCTCATTTCTTCCTCACATGATCTCCTACATGTCACCCTCGCCTCGGACGCCCAACTCGTTGTTTCCTCTTTGGATTCCACTCTAGGGCCCAGACTGGCGCGGGATGTCCCCAATTGCCCTTCTCAGTGTATGCCCAATCCATCTCCACTTTATTCTGCGTATTTGTTGGGTGATAGATTCTTGGTTCGTTGATTCATTGTCAGAGTTCCTTGTTGCTTATTCTTATTATTCTGGCCATCTGATCTTCAGTATCAAGTGAGCGTAGGCGTCAGCTGTTGATGAATACCTGTACTTTGTTGGAAATGCTTTTCGTGACAAAACAAGTTTCTGAACCATAGAGCAGCACTGAGTTGAATGGATTGGTGTTGAAATTCCGGATCTTGTTGTTCATGCTGGGTTGAGTGGAATGCAGTAGATCTCCATACTGAATTCAGATTAATGAGGGAAGGCCTGTCTTGCTGCCTTTCGCATCCTGGTTTTGACATCCTCTTCTGTGCCTGTGCCGCCTGTAGTTGAAACGATGCTGCCTAGGTAGGCGAAAGAGACTACTTCCATAAGGTTTCTCCCGTTAATGTTGATTGGTACTTTGTTGTTGGTGTTGTTGTTGATTGGGTATCTTCATCACCTGTGTCTTCTCTACATTCAATTGAAGTCCCGTTTTCGCAACCTCTCGTGTCAACTTGTTTGTTTTCGACTGTGTATCTTCAAGTTTTCGCGACATAAGACATTAGACATAAATCATAACGGGGGAAATCCAAATCTTCTATGGTCTTTTCATCGGTTCAGTTAGCGTATGCCCATCTTCTCGCTCCTCATGGTTCACTCCATGATCCAGTCGATCACAATCAGGAAGATTATGGGTGATAGTAGGCAGCCTTGTCTTTTTCCTGTCTTCACTGAACTTTCCATTGTGGACCACTTGGCATGTGGCGTCATCATATAGCTGTTGAATGAGGTTGATAAAGACTAATGGCACTCCGTAGTGTTGAAGCAAATGCCAAATTACTTGTCGGTCAATGCTGTCAAAGTCGATGAAGTTGAGACAGAGAGTTGATTGCCATTCTATACTCTGTTCTATGGTGATGCGCAGCGTTGCAATTTGGTCTGCACATGATTTGTTCTTCCTAGTGACAGCCAGCCTGTTCCGATCGTAGTTTTGAATCCAGCGCACTTTCTAGTCTCTCCAGATGATGCGGCTTAATATTTTGCTCTCTTTAAGTAGACAAAGGCATGATTCCGTACCGGTTCTTGCAAAGGCTTATGTCTCCCTTCATTGGGAGTTTGACAAGGTAGCCCTTCTTCCAGTCTACAAGTACGTTTCCTTCCGTCCTTAGAAACCTTCTGCAGTAGTGGTATGAGCATGTCTGCTGTTGTCTCTGTGTCCGTTTTCTGTGCTTTTGGAGGAATTCCATCTGGTACTGCTGCTTTGCAGGAATTCGGTAGTTTTATGGCATTCAGGACTTCGACTTTTGCCGGAGGGCTTGGGTTCGCTGGTAGTTCTGCCGTTGCTGGTGATATTTCCGGACGAGTTGCAGGTGGTGGTGGTGGTCGATTCAAGAGCTTTTTGAAATGATCAGCCCATTGTTTCCTTTGTTTTTCCTCTTTGGTAACTAGCTTTCATTGGTTTCAACTGTGTTGATCTCTTCTCTCCCAGATAGTACCCTGGTTATTTGATACATTGTTGTCAGGTTACTCACTGTCTCTCTTACTGGCGGCCTGTTCTGC